TTATTTTACCAGACGACCCTTTTAATGGAGAAAACTAAAAGACAGGATGAATGCGCAATACATTCAAGCAATAAATCGAATTTAAAATATACAAGGAGCTTTTTTAACCCATTACCTGCCATGAGCCCCATTTGGAGATCTGTTAAAATTAAACTCACTACATGTTATTCCTTGTATTTACATTGAATTGCTTACATACATTGCATTTGCAGAGGTATATTTTACAACACTTAGCCTTTAAAGTTTTTTATTATTAGCCATAAGAAGACACATTCTGTCGTAATTTTACATTTCACGAGTAGAAAAATAATGACTATTTTGAAAAATATTTTTTTTATTATTTCTAATCAATATTATTTTTTCATGTTTTATACACATATATATTTGATGTTCGAGTTTCTATAAAAATAACAATGGTAACTACTGAAATTAAACATAAGGAATAAATAAACTCCTAAGACATCTGTTTGGGCCAAAAATGAGTATTAAAAAAATTTGGCAGTTAATGGGTTAATATAAATGAACATAACAGAAGAATGGAAAAAAAAAAGAAAAAAGTATTCTTAGAGTCAACGAAAAAAAATTGGATCAATTATCAAACTTATACTTTTAGAAACTTTTGCAACGAATGACAAAAAATTGTGCTGCAGAAATCAAGGCTAAAGAAGGATAGTTTGACGAGAGCAAAATTTAATCATAATTTTTTTTTCCTTTTGTCATAATAATATTTAAAAAATTATCATTCAATTTTTTTAACCATGTATAATAATTTTCTCTTATCTAAAGTACAAAATAAATACTTTTAGTACCAATTTAAAAAAAAAAATTACCATGGGTTGCTTCAAACTTTTGAACTGTAATGTATATATCATTGGAAACATTTGAACATTTGATACAATTTTAAAAATAAATAACTAAAAATAATAAACAAAAATGAAAAAGGACGAAACGAAGATTTGTAGTTTCATGATGAAAACTAAATTGAAAGAAAAAATGAAATGGAAGCTGAGATAAGATGACCGTTTTGTGGTGGGGACGGCATATTAGGAATACAAAAAATAACGTCAGATTGAAAAGAAAATTAGGCGTTGGTAAGTTGTTGAGATAGTTAAATATTTTCTTACGGATACTAACAGTGGCTTTCCACTCAGGTAGAATCAATCATACATAAGTCTGTAGAAGACCGTGTGTTTAGGTGTTGTTGAATTAGGAACACGTGATGTTTATTCCTGCTAAAAGAACGTCCAACTACAAGAAAATGGCGGACTCAAGTTGAGTCCAACCGAAGATGTAAAGAAAACAAACAAGACCGATATATATATATGTCAACAAATATATGTATTAAACAACAAATTTACAAGTGACAAAGACATCAACATTTTTGTTTGTGTGTGAACGTAAAGAGTTTGTATTTTGGTGAATGTTCGTACGTACGTGTATGTGTGTTTCATGGCGTTTTCCCATAAGTGGGCGAAAACGCAGATCTCTGCGAGAGACCACATTTTTTTAATGTGTCCGATGAAATGCAATTAAAAAAGAGAACGAGGCGAGAAATCGACTAGTATTTATAGTGTAGGGAGAGCGTGCTCTAGTGAAATATTTGGACAATTAAGGATTATGCTTAGAATATTGCTACCACATATGGAAAAATAACGACAGGATGAAAGCGGAATAGAAACCGAAGTTAAAATGTCATACAAGGAGCTTTCTTAATACTTGAACATCTATGTTTTTTTTTATATTTACCAAGTATGAGGGGACAGATGCAAAGTAAACATAAATACTTGTTAGGGGGTCTCACCGTAGAGCAATGGTAACAAACTAATCTCACATACTTACACCATTTATATTCGGACTATTGTCCTCATCTCAGTAGTGGATAAAAGCTTTTGTTTGTGAATTTGGTAACAAAGTTGTTACGATTTCAAACCCTAGTTCGTGCAATGTGTGCTTACACACAGTGGAAACGCGCAAGAAATAACTGAACAGCACTAAATAAACATAAGAACTAGTGGAACAAGAACAACTTGCTCGCGTAGATTAAATAAAGCGTCAATTTCATAATTCCCTGTAAGTTACCCAGATCGATATATATCTGTGGAAGGCCGGAGGGGTACAACGGCCGAAATGTTTTGTTAACAACAACAAAGATGAGGACAATAATCTGAATATATTAGTGTAAATAATGATAACTCCTAATTCCAGAAATTCTGGCAAAACCAATCAGACATACCATTACTATCGTAATTTGGCACACAATGTCTGTTTAACATGTCTACATGCTTAGACTAAGAATATTAAAAATGCTAGTCATGGCTTTTGTTCTTTTATGCTCCCTCGTAAATATCACATAAAAGTATAATGTCCTTCATTCACTCCTGCCTGTTCAGCTGCTATTGCCGAGAGGAATCCCTTTTTCCCGGCTATACCAACTTGATATCGCTGATCAAAATAGACGCCTCTTTGTATCCACACGTAATAAGTGCAAACGTATCCTAAGAGAGGATAAGTCATTGTTTGCCGATAGAGCGAGGTACAGTATAGCTTTTGACATGTATACTTCTCCTACATACTAGAGGCTGTATGTGAGTTCGTTAAATAAGGGTAAGTTCTCATTCCTCCTTGTTTCAATCAATTTAAGGTGTCAGCAAAATTTCGCGATAAAGCAGAATGCTTTTTAAGCAAATTCTCTTCCAATTCTACCCATGACTCATCAGAAGTAATTTTACCTGACTTCTCACTTAGAATTTTCGTCTCTACTGTTTGGAATTCAAATAAAACCGTCCATAGGTTCAGCTATCATCTCAAACTTGAATTGATTTATCATATCAAAGTACGGACTGACATAGATTTGTAGAGACTGGCACACACACACACACACACACACACACACACACACACACACACATATATATATATATATATATATATATATATATATATATATATATATATATATATATACATATATGCATTGATAGGAAGATAATTATATATATATATATATATATATATATATATATATATATATATATATACACCCAAATAAACCATTAGTGAAATATTTGTTAAAATCGTACATGTTAAAATGTGCTCACTATCAAGTAGGGAAACCAAACTTGCAGAGCGATTTAATATTTTAAAAAGATCAGATTGCTGAGCAGAAAATTACCACGGTTTTCGGCAGTGGTCCGGCCAAGGTTCTTATCTTTTTAAATATATATATATATATATATATATATATATATATATAGATAGATAGATAGATAGATAGATAGATAGATAGGAACGTTTAGATAGACAAATAGAAAAGAACAGCATTATATATATATATCGAGAGAGAGAAAAAGGAAATTGATAGATAGATACATAGATAGATACGTGCAGATTGAGATAGATAGATAGATACATAGATAGATACGTGCAGAGTGAGATAGATAGACAGATAGATAGATAGATAGATAGATAGATACGTGTAGAGTGGGATAGATAGAACCAGCTAGATAGATACTGACAAACAAATAATGTTTATTTTTCTAACAGACAGATACGTGCATTCTACTTCTTTTAAACATAGTTGGTTGAGTACAAATAAAAGTTAAATTGAAAATGGGAATTTTTCTGACGATTATTGGAAAACAATCTTACAATTCAAACCAAATCTTGCAGCTTCTTGATATTCTGTCTTACAAATCTCTGGCCTTAAAATAATTTATCTTTCATTATTATCTTTCTTTTCTTTTCAACTTATGCTCCAATTCTTTCTTTGTTTTACTTCACTCAAATACAAACTTCACAGCTTATCGTTTTTGTATTTTGTCCGCTTTAATAAAACGAAGAACAGACTCATCATAGACCGATTTCTTACTTTCACTTTCACTTTAAATTTCTATGGACATAAAATATTCCTCTACAAGGCTGTCTTACAAATTTTATTTCTAAGATCATTCTCGAAATTTGATTCTTTATTCTTACATTTTCTTTTTTCTTTTCAATTTTCTTTTCTTACAATTTTTCCTGTTTTTATTAGTTTTATTATTATTATTATTATTATTATTAGTTTATCTTTCTTATCTTTTATTTTTATTAGTTTATCTTTCTTTCTCTTTTTCCTTTGTCATTGCTTTTTACTTTTTTATTTTTTTATTTCGTCTTTCTTTTATATTTTGTCTTCCATTGTTTTATCTCTGCTATTTTGTATTGTCTTCATTAAATCTTATGAAAATTATTTAATTAATTACTTTAACTAACAAATAATTCATTTCAATGCTATCTTTGATTTTTCCTTATTGATTTCATTTTTCCTCTTGACCTTTGTTAAACTTCAGTAATTATATTTCTATTTTCCTTTAAGCCTTTCGTTCGCTTATTTTACTTCATATTACTTCGGACAGTTTATCTGCTCTGTTTATGTTCTGCTTCCTTTCGCTTTCTCACTGTGTATTTTATCAAATATTTTTCTTTCTTTCTTTTGAATTCTCCTATTTCCTCTTTGTCTTTTTTTTTTTTTCATACGATACTTACACACCCGAAGAAAATTAGGGCGGATGTCTGGTGCCAATCTTATTCTAAAGGATTTGTATGTCGTAAAAAATAGCCACCGATATCCTAACTTGCCTCGAACACTGGCCTCGCTGGGCGATATGGAATTATCTAGAAATGTGCCATTGCCTCACTTATTATCAAAATTGAAATCGAAAGAGAAACAAGAGATTAAAAACTGCAGAAGATCCATGAAAGCCTTATTTCTTTTCACAGTGGTCAAATTCTTAAAACCTTACACAAATTTATCCGTCACTCATCTCCTGACCGCAGACTTGTCGACCAAGAAATCTTTTCGCATGGTTTGAAACATTGTGTTTATTAATGCATGTACGGGCTAAAGCGTGTAGTTCGACACATTTCTCGTTTTTCGAGCAATCCCATGGGGAAGATGAACGACTTCGGATTTAGTTAAGGTTTGATAAACAGTAAACATCATGCAAATAGGGCTAACGTTCATCTCATGTTCACGTACGATCACTGAAATTAAGTAACATCGGGCCTCGTCAGTACTTGGATGGATGACCGCTTGGCAATAACAGGTGTTGTAAACTCGGATGTACGGGTGGTGCAGGATGACTTCTCGGAATGGGAAATCGAATAACCTGGTTTCGATTCTAGATGGCTCGTTTATATTTAAAATGATTAAGAATCCACCTCTTGTACCCCAATCTCTGGGTTAAATAGTAGGACGTGTATCAGTAAATCATTATCTCCCCAAATTTCTTACAATCTAAAAATTGTCTCCCCAAACTTCTTACAATCTAAAAATATATTCTGGCTTTAAATAAAGGTTGATAAACCGTAAAAAACAAATCAAAAATCAAATTCATGCAAATAATAAAATTTTTGCGATAAGCATGAATAACACAAGTTCCAAAATTTTGAAACCTTGTTCGATCTTATTTTATTTTTATTTGGGACTTATTGATTGATTTGATTTTTTCCTTTCACTGTCTTCATCACTCCCTACAAATTCTCTACTGAGGAGTGAGTTCAATCCACTCTGGCTGCTCTATACAAAATGAATATTAAATAACCCATCTAGAATTAACATCTCGTAAAATAAACCAACCAGTTTGCTGCCAAAACTGGAAAACCCTATATATTTTGTAATCCTTTTATCTTAAACAAGGCAATAAAGCCACAAAGTTGAATGTGAAAGAATATGAGAAAAAATTATTAAAGGAAGAGAACACTAAATGGAGCGGGTTTAAGAATATAACGAAAATTGTGAGAGGAGAAACTGTTAGCAAAGAATTTATGGTTACATCTAGCTATTCCAAATATAAAATGATGAGACCTAGCTGCCAATCTAGTACTGCGCTTAAATTCATAAAGTCGACGTACCAAAGAGGAAAGCTTATTTGAAAATTACTATGAAAATATTTATAGAAAAGTCAAAGGAAAAGTACGTTATTACGGTAAAAAAATGACTTAACCCTTGATGATAGGTCGGGACCATGTTGATATAAAATTAACTCACAGGACACTTTAATCATTAGGAATGATTAATAATCTGTCCTCATTTACGGCAGCGAATATTGAACGGTTTCCTCAAAGATGAAGGAGAGACTCGAGCCAACGGAGGTATTGTTCTACAAAAGGATGTAAAGCATATCATTGACCAAGCGTGTGAGCAACGATGAGTCTTTGGAGAGGATGCAAACAAGGAGGAAGCTTATACTTAACACCAGGAAGATGCAGGTGAAACCTCTGGGACAAGTAATGAGAAAGGAGGGGCTCGAGAATCTGATACTCACAAGTCGAATAGAGGGAAAGAGAAACAAGGGAATTAAGCTGATGACATACCTGGCGGGCCTAAGCAAGTGGATGACAGAACGTCGTCTGGGGATGGGGGCAGACTGACGAAACTTATTGAGAGCTACAAGCCATAGGAGGAAATGGGGAACCATGATAGTCTATGTCCTGAAAAGACACGGTACATAAAAAGAAAAAAAAGTGTTTTTGGGTAATTATTGTAATAATTTTTTATTAGGTTGGTGCATAATTATCAGGCGTTTTTAATCAATATTTAATATGAAGAAAAGAAACATAATAATTCAACAATAACATTTTTAAATGAGTATGTTTATCGACACGCATTTTTATAACCTGAAAATAAAATAATATTTTTATTTACAAAAAAAAGTAAACAAAACAGCAATTTTTATTAACGAAAAACTCGCCCACAAAAACGCCTGATAATTATGCACCAACCCAATAGAACAAAAGGTTTATTCGAAATACGGACATTATTTTCCGAACAAACTAATAATATTTATTATCATTGTTTATAAATTTATATTTATAATACTTTGTCTATGATCGAACTCGCAAGGTAAACGTCTCTAAACCTGCTTGTTAACCATTACATTACGATCAAGAAATGAACGCAAATTCTCATTTACTTTCATGTGCTTAAGGGAAATGGAAGAAGAATGATTTGACGAGAGACAGTGATTTCAGTCATCCTCTTCGTCGCTCTCTGCAAGATTTTCGAGAGATATATTCAAGATGATGATAAATATTTGCCATTTTCCCCAATGTATCGAGATTTGTTCCTTGACCCCAGGGGCAATGCGCTGGGGTGGTGGACCGAAGCGGTCGTTTAAATAGGCCCCTGGGAATCGGCGGGAAATCGGTTTCCCAATTAATTAAAGGAAAATGCACATCGCTGGCGCGGAGTTTTTCCCTACGCCAACGTTCGACTGCTTGACTGACAACCATACAGGCACAAGCCCTATCATTAACTGGATGCGTATAGGCGCACCAAAAAATGGGGTGGGGGTGGGGAGATAATAAAGAACTTAACGAAAGAATATACAAACATGCACATAGAACAACTTATGTAGTGTCGAGCAGTTACCTTATCCATAGAGAGTATTTTACAAATAAATATAAAACCAATTAAACTTCGACGCATCAATCACACAAATCATATTTACAACTTATATTAATGTCATGTTCTGAATAAAGATACAAATACACGTATACGATATCATATGCAGGTACATAGATGACAGGTCCCGATCAAACATACAAATATGTCACAGGCAGTTACGCACATGGTATGATAAAAAAAGACATAAAAATGCACAATGAAAAACACTTATGACATGTCGTAAACATTGTTACAAATGTGCATATACAATGCCATATAAAGTAACACTTATAACACATCAAAAACGTACGAATATCCATATACAATGTCATATGATGTAAACTTATGACATTTCACAAGCAAAGATACAAACATGCATGTACAATGTCACATGAAGTAACACTTATGATATGGCAAAATCAAATATACGAAAATGCATTATACAATGTCATAAACAAATATATATGCATAAAAAATTTCATAACATGAAATATTATAGATATAGCTATAAAATCCTATGTGCAGCCATATATATCACATGTCCTGTACAAAGTTAGAACGATGAATATACACTGGAACGTGCATTTGAAATCAGTTACGGATTACATTGAAGACATTTTATATATTATGCCTTTAAATTCCTTGAAGAACATAGGGCCGCATCATATCGATAACAAGCCAATTTTTTAAGTGAGTAGGATGTTAGTCTAATACAAAAGCCCCAATCTTGAGGATTAGGTTTTGAATTCAGAGTTTTCCTTCACCCAAGGCTATTTACCCATAGCTGGGTGGGTGGAGAAGAAGGGAATACATACCCAAGGGTATTAGCACGTAATTAAATGTTATGGATTCGACTGGATTTCGAACTCGCCTCTCCGATTCTGCAATCCAAGCCGCGATCCATTACTTCACTGTGCCCCCTCTCAGAGGACGTTATAGGAATTAAAAATTAATCGTTTATTGTTTGTTCTCTATCACCTTTTCTATGTTCCTTTCAAAAACATTTCATCGACGCCATAGACTTACATGGCAGCTGTCGACTCGTTAAACGAGTAGAACCATCACTGACAAGATTTACATCTACCCGCGTTTGACAGTTCAGGGTTTTCCTTCTCCTAGATCCGTTGCCAAGCAAATCTGAAGATTTCAGTCGGCTCTATTATTTAACACATGGTTGGGATAAGAGAGGAGAAATGGATGCATATGGATATTTTTCAATGTCTCGTCCCGGACCACTAAACAAAACTAGTTCTGGGCATGACGATAAACGAGTCGGGAAATTGGAGTATCTGAGGAGACTGGAACCACCTCTTAAGTGCTTTTTTCCCAGGTCCACCCACTCTCGGGGTGTTAGCGCCTGTTAGGGTCCCAGCTATAGACAAATAGTGAACCCTCAAACGAACCAAACATATTATGAAAGTGTTGTGACCAAGTAATTGGTTATGAAATAACAAAACAAGAGGTTGCAGATAAATAGTGCATTGAACAGTAAATACAACAGAAGTTTGTTACACGACTTGGAAGTATGTGTCGGTTGACCAGGGTTCAGTCTATACCACTGTCAATAGTTAACAGTTCCCCCCACGAGGGATATATGTGTCACAAGGCCGAGTTTAACATAGGGCACCCGAGCCCGTAGGCTTGGCCAAAACATCCCTGTAGAACCCGAATAAAAAGGTTCCTGTCTGTCTAATTCCCCGGGCGAAACTCTGCCCTTCGGCACAGCCTCGTCCGGCTTCCTCTCTGCCAAAAGCAGAGAGTTCGACAGGAGCTGCGAACATCCTCAGTAGAACAGTCTATATCACCGTTAATATTTAACAGCCCCACCCCCGGCTACCCACGAGGGATATATGTAGCACAAGGCTGAGTTTAACATGGGTCATCCGAGCCCGTAGGCTTGGCCAAAAAATCCCTGTAGAACCCACATAAACGGGTTCGGGACTGTCTGTCTCACCGGACGAAACTCGTCCGAACAGTCTATATCACCGTTACCCCCACTGAGGCTTACTTTTACAACTACTTTATAATAATTGGAAGAATCCATAATAGATTCATTAGAGGTAAGACACTACAACAGAAAGTATATAAAAACATTTTTATAGTCAAATTCCAGAAATACATTTTATATATGAAAAATTACCAACAATACACGTTTTAACACAAAATGACCAGCAATATATTTTATCTGTAGTTGAAGGTATACATTTTCGTTCAAAATATATTTAGTTGAAGCGATAGAATTGTGTTCAAATTGTTTAGATTTTGGCATTAAATAACCTATCGTGGTTGATATGCCGCTAATGAATATCAACCAGGTAACGAACAGAGCTATGAAAATAGACGTTAATATATCAGTTAAACCCCATGTTCATGACATTCACTTACGTGCTAATACCCTTGGGAAAGGTATGAATCTTCTTCTCCTCCTCCCAGCTAAGGACAGGGTTCTTGGATGGTAACAGGTCTACCGCAGAAAGAAATGGAAAGCTACTGCGGAGGAAAAATCTGCCTTGTCTGTCATGTATTGAAAGATACATGATCGCCTAAGCCTGTATCACGCATGGCCCATAACTGACTGAATGCCCATGCTGCGATTATAGCAGTCTACAGCTTGCATAACACCGCAACAAATCACAGCAAAAATGCTGATAATGTCAGAGACAAGCA